AGCAGAGAGCAAATTGGCCAAAGAATTCTTCAACCGTTATCACCCTGCTTCACAGCGAGGGTTACCGACTTGTGAATAATAGCTGGATATAAAGAGAAATGCTTTGAAAGGATGCAGTGGTTGCTCATGCACAAACCCACACCAAAGGTTGGACGTGCTCACCATCGTCCTCGAGGTTGATGATAATGTATCGTTGTTCATATTTGAACGTATCCAGTCGTTTTGCTAGTACGTGTGCAGTAACTTGTCTCGCTCCAGTGACTGGCGTTCCTAAATTGTTGTGAGTTACGCCACTATGAAATTGACTACTAACTTAAAATGATATGACCTAATTTGTTGAGTTTGTGAACCTTAGCAGAACCCCAATTATGCATTTCTACAGAATCTTAAACCGAGTGGGTCGTAAAAATAGTAACAAAGAAATTATCTCAAGGAAAGGTAATTTGCTATGAATTTATGGTAATTCGCTAAGTGAAGTGCCATGAAGCTGTATATACAGTAGCGGTCAAAAGTGTTCGCCGAAACGATTTTTAGTGCATTATTTTTTCTCGCTTGAGCAACGCCCTCCAAAGATTGATATACTATGTTTTCTAGTGTTTTTATATCCTCAAGTCTTAAAGAATCAGGATGTTCAAAAGAAAAATTTTCGAGGCCACCATTGATTTTTTCTGGCAAAAAAAGAGAAGCACGGAAAACCGTTTCGGCGAACACTTTTGACCGCTACTGTATGCTTACTTTGAGCCTTATAAGGGGAGGGGGGGCGGATCTCCATATAGTTGCTTTCCTCACGGATAACAGCACAACAGATTCGAGTTTGCTTCCACGGCGACAAGCAAGATTCGTCAAGAAATCTCACTCCAAGAGAATTCCTCAGAGTTTTAACTTGCGGTATCTCCTACAGTACAAGCTTCTCTCTTCACAATAAAGTTGTTTAAGGTTCGCATTTCAACAAAACCCAAGCATTCGTCTTATTCTTTAGCGTTTGTCCCGCCCGCTGGCGGGGCCCGCTTTCGAGGGAGAACGATCAGAGACCCAAGGATAAAGCTAGCAAACTGGCAGAACCCCAAACTTAAAGGCACGAGTCGGGATCGAGTTGGTGGGTTACCTTGATCGAAATTCTTGATAAAAATACGAAGTGCGACAAAAAACAGCAGTTAACAAACAACAGGTCAGAAAGATAAATGTTATTCGAACGGATTCCTCATAAACAAGATCTCTAAAAAGAAGTTATACCTACATGAGCCTCAAATAGTTCAATAATATCTTGAGAAGAGAAAGAGTTGCTTGAGTTTTAACACACTCACGCCGACGGCAGCCCATACGGACTGCCAGTGATGGGTACGCGTGGGACAGTGGCAGCCCATATGGCCTGCCAGTTTGTAATCACATGCCACTTCATGATACCTTAACTTACTTGGGCTTTTTTTAATATTAACGGAGAACAGGGCCAATGGATAACTCTAAGCAATATGGTCCAAAGAAATTCATAATGCTTTTTTTAAAGAACCTTTTTGAACCTTATGAGACTTTTGGTTTTGTTTACCCTTTTTTTTTTTCCTGTTGCCATAAAATGTAAATTAAAGAGAAGCAGAAGTGAACGTAAACCTCCTACAAGGCAAGATACGTGAATAATGAGATTTACTTTTTATTTAAACGGCCAATAACTTACAATGAGGTGCATAACTTTGCGTTTCTTGCGTTTGCCTTGAGCCCAACGTTATAGATAAATAAATGAATTAATTACTAAATTAATAAATAAATAAATAAATAAATAAATAAATAAATAAATAAATAAATAAAAAATAAAATAAATATAAACAAATAAAGTCGAGTACGAGATTCAAACGATTCAACTAAGAACAAATCATACCAACAAGGTAGGCAAGAGCCTTGTGACGTGACGGCACCAGATGAAGCCAGGATGGGAGAGCAGGGCGATTTTTCAACGTAGCCGACCACTTCACGTCAACTGAAATTTGTACAGCTTTATATTCATTATACTCCTGTTCTGCTATCAAATCATAATACGTGAATCGAGAAAAAAAATAAAAAATGCGATTTTCACCTGTGACAGAAAAGAAGGAGGCTGAGTGTAGCGTGTAAACAAAGAGTTGACCTTTCCGGGCAGTAGCTTGTAATGTGTCAATGGTATACGTTTCAACTGAAACCGCCACGCAAAAAATTAGTACAATATCTCGCATGAGCGGTATAGGATGAATTCCTGCAGCAGCAAAGCTCATCAGCTCCAGTCACGCTAGCATTACACTCACCTCAGCGTGCTAGTGTAATGCGGTGCACTCGTTCCGCTGCCGAGTTCTACGCAGCACCCTTATATAAGGACTGAAATGTGGTCCTGCCCAGTCCCAACGAACTTCATTTTTCTTATTTTACAGTCATTTTTTATTCAGTTTTTTCCACAGCATACATATAATAGATCAACTAAATTAGAATATGAGTTCCAAATTGTAGTACCGTATCCATTTTCGATAAGCGTTCGTAAAAATTTCTCCTAGTTTGTCATGTGCCAAAATGCTTCAATAAACGATGAAGCACTCGACGTCGATCAGTAACTTTCAGGATGCGCCGCGCAGTTCACTTCCAACCTTCTCATAATTGTAGTCGTACCTAAATTCACCTATACAAGGGACGATGGCTGATGTACATGCCAGTGTTTTCGTCTTCTCAGATACGTCTGGTACCAAATCTGCAACCCAAGAGTTACGATGGTCTTGGTTAGCTTCGAGATTGGTCCGGGATCTAACTCCAAAGAACACGGGTGGAAGAGACGCCTCTTGCCTCCACACCATCTCCTCCCAGCTGCTACAACCAGGGTCAACCGTCACGTTGGACCGATTTCGAAAATTTTACGACCCCCCTCCCCCTTCTAGAGGGCCTCGATACGACCCCCCTCAGGGTCAACCCTTCACCACCCGCCTGCCATCGCCATCATGGGGCTCATTCTATAGTATTCGATTCTGAGACCAGTCGACACAGCCCAAACTCCGCCCACTTTTTTCCTCCAAAATTGCCGTCGAGCGGGGGAGCAAAATTTTAGTCTTTGTCTTTGTGCAACGGACGGTTGAACCTGGCTACAACCGCTCCTATCAAAAGCTTGGCCCCAGGTGGGACTCTGACACGCAACTCTTGCTTACCACGCAACTGTGCTACCATCACACTACCGGAGGTTCCATAGAAAAGCTCACGGGCGGTGCGAACGCGTTCGCGTGTTGGTGACGTCACAGCGGCGAAGGGCCAGCTCTGCCACCATTACTTCAATGCCTTGAGTACATTGTATGTGTATTACGAGTATGTGTATTACGAGGAACAGTCATACTC